GTTTTTTTTATTACTCGAAATATTGCACTTTTAGGGTTTTTTTTTTTCTTTTTTGGCGTTAAAAATAGAGTTTTCTAGGCCCTCCATGCATGTGAGCATTCTAACACATTTCAGCCGAATTCGTTACTTTTGTAGGGAATTTTTATGCGCTATGTGGCACATTTTCGCATTATTTGCCAAATTTATCCTTCTGATCTTACCAGGAGTACGGATAGACTTAAGAACCCGCAGAAGGGTACTATGGGATACCGAGTGGAAGGCCTTTTGGACGTCGACCCAAGCCGCATGCTCAGGGATTTTTTTTTTTTTTTAGTTGCGACATTGTGTCCAGCACCACCGCACGGTCAAGAACGTGGGCATGAATGCAGTTCCACTCCCCACCATATGCGCATTGCTCTCTGGTTGTCCAAGATCGCACTGCCCTCTTCTAGAATTAAAATTTTGCTTTATACCGAGCGGCTTTTGTATTTGGATGAATCTAGATGTTTTTCGACGCCTGAAAAAAAACCCGGCTAGCAATCATGGCGCAGTAGGTTAGCAGCAGGCCGAAAATTCGACTTCGTCTATGCGACATGCAATCCCTCTACGATTCGTTCATTCGTTTCGATGGTAAAATTGGCACTAGCAAATGCCAGGGAGTCAAAACCGCCATCAGTTTGCTCGCAAAAAAACCCTCGAAAAAGGAAGTTATTAATAGCCTTACCAGCGAGTGATTGCTGTTGGCATTTGCTACCGTTCGGGCTATTTCCCAAGCTCCGCCCCCTCCACTGAGTGAGAATACAGAGGGACTTTTTGAATTGACACTCTTTGTGTTTACAGCTAAGGGATGAAACGCAGATAGACCATGCGGAACCCTCAAAGGAGGGAGTTATTAGTAGCCTTACCAGCGAGTGATTGCTGTTGGCATTTGCTACCGCTCGGGCTATTTACCAAGCTCCGCCCCTTCACTGAGCAAGAATATAGAGGGGCTTTTTGAATTGACACTCTTTGTGTTTAAAGCTAAGGGATGAAACACAGATTGACCACTCCAAAATGTGCTCTGAATATGACCATTTTACTTGTTAACCAGTTTGTACCACATCAACAACCCAACTATTTTACCCGCTACCATTCTTTATCGAATTTTATTCTTCCAGCCTTAAACCATATGGAATTCAGTTGTGCTGAACTTCTTCGGTTTTTACAATCTTCTATTTTATTTGTTATTCTTCGGCCTATCTAAGGCCGCAAATTACCACCGCATATCTACCACAACCTCGATATTCTAGCTTGGAATGACTACTTTTTGTCTGGGCTTCCACGGCTTTTTCTTTCGTTTCTATTTAAATAAACTTGTTTGGTCATCATAAGCCGTCTTGGCTAACTTATTTGTTATCATTAATCATCAAATATAATTTTGTGAAGCCTGTGCTTGATTTTGCTTGAAAAAAAGGCGAATACGGCCATAAATTACCACCTCACATTTATCAAAACCCTGACATTTCAGCTTGGAATGACTACTTTTTGTTTGGGCTTCCATGGCCGCTTCTTTCGTTTCTATTTAAATAAACTTATAAGCCGTCTTGGCTAATTTATATGTTATCATTGATCACCGAATATAATTTTGTGAAGCCTGTGCTTGATTTTGTTCGAAAAAAATGCGAAATTTTTGGGTTTTCAGATGAGCAGCAGCTGGGGCTAGTGAAGCAATGGCTGTGAACGGTTTCTACGTTGTACAGGGAGAGGCGAATGCGGTTGTGGCGCTGCTCAAGAAGGCACATCGTGGCGCCTGGCCGCACCAGCAACAGCACGTCCAGCTTGGCCATTCGTTGTTGGACGAGACCGATCCGCTGCTGAGGAATTTTGCCGATTTGCGTGACGTTTTCAGTTCGGTAATCATACATTTTTGTTTACATCTTACCCGTATTTTTCCAAAATACACTGAGCAACAACTCTTTTCCCACCCAACTGCTTGTCTTTGGCTTGACGCAGTGGTTTTTCCGCGCTAAGTTATATTTCTCCAGCTGAAACGTTTTTTCGTGTAATTCATTTAATTTGATATCTTTTGTGTATTTCTGCACATTTATGCAAATGCAAAAACGCATATTGACGTAAGATTATCGATATATATTTTGGGTATGTTCTTGAGTGTGTGTGTGTTTGTGTATATGTGTGTATGTGTGTGTGTGCGTGTGCGTGTGTGTGCGTATGTGTGTATTCGCCCCTCTGTAACAAACAGCAGCCGGTGAAGCCATGATTATGCAAATTTGCATTATCACTGATAGCATAATACTAGCGCCATTCCTTTTCGCAGCAACAAAAAGGTAGTGCTTAGAAGAAGTGATTGATTTATGAATTTCTTGAGTTTATTTATGAATTTTTCGATTTCCTTTTTTTTGTTTTCCTTTATTTTCGTGCTTATCTGAATTAAGCAAAATTTAAAAAAAATCCGTAATCAGCAGTATTCTTCTCATCCACCTGCAGAAAGAACTACGACTGATTGAGCGCCGATGAGCTTAGTTCTTCGCTAATATTTGTGTTTGAATAGTCAAATATCTTTAGAGTTTTTATGCACCGTCTCATGCTCAAAATACCGTGCGCATTAATTGAGAATGAAAAATTATCTTTAATTCTTTCTTTTTTTTTTTTTCTTTTGTTTCTTTTCAGCGTAACACCTTTAAGGTTTTTATCATCTGTCGCCTGCTTTTTATAAATTTAAATTATCATTTGGGTCGGGAAAACACCAAGAAGACTTCAAATTATTTCCCAATATACCATCTTCCCTGCCAAAGACTTGTACCCGTGTGTGAAAACGAATTTTGCTTAGGGGCTGAATTTGAAGCAGTTGCGTTGCATGTGAACATTGTCGAACTTCGGCTTTCCACTTTTTGCGTTTTCCAACTTATCTTGTGTCCTCACGAGAGATTTTGCCGGACGAACTGTTAAGCCCGTCATAATTTGGGGCTCAACTTGCATTCTAGCACTGCACATGGACAGGAAATATCCAAATGAAACTTCAGATAACATGCTTTTTCCCCAAAACACCGTCCTTCGCGTCAAAGATCTGTGCATGTGTGTGAGACCCTGCTTACTTAGGACCTGAATTTGAGGCATTTTGCGTTGCACGTGAACAGAGAACAACTTCACCCAGCTTCAGATTTTTTGCTTCTCTGTTTCGTTTGAACAACGAACCGAAACCTGCTATGCCCGCTTTCCAAACATCTTGAAGCCAACAAAGAGAACACCGCTTTTTGCGCGCTAAACAAAGGCATGTGAAAGATTATAAGCCTTTTCAGCAAGTGATATTGAACGGTATTTGTCAGTGGAATGACAAGAGTCCAATGTTTTTTTTTTTTAAATTGATAATTTTTTAGCCCTGCAGTTTCTCAAGATTACCACGCATTTCCCAGCATTTGTAAGCGTCATGGTTTTTTTTTTATTAGATTTTAATTAAAATCGTTTTCTGATATAACCGTAATCATCCTTCTTACGAAGTAAAATCAAGTTGAATTACCAACAATCAATATCCTTATCATTATTTCGAGTATTAATTCGATCAGCTATTAATTCACTGTTGGTTTTCTAGCTGTATAGCTAGCATCCTCTCCAGTTGCTATTATTAATTGCTGTATCGCGTGATAAAGTGCATACTGCTGAAAATCTTAGTGTTTTTTTTTTTTTTTTTGGAAGAATTATTAGTCCAGCAGTTCTCTTGATAAAGCATTTATCCGGGTTTTGCCGCTTTCTGGATATCACTGGTTTGTTTTTGAGTATCACCACCTCATCTTAGCTAAAGTTAACAGAGAGATATATTAACAAAGGAAATAGGAAGTAAGCAGAATCAAAAAAGAAGATAGGAAATGAGAACTAGAAAATTAGTAAAATTATTACGGTTATTATGATATCATTATAATAATTATTATAATCGTAATATCATTGTCTCGAATTAATGTATTTTCATCGTTTTTTTTTTTTTTTTAATGGCCCTTAGCATGTAAAGAGATTTTATATACAGTAAAAGGTGTTATTGCTGAATAGCTCGAGCCCTATGATATCGGTTATTCATACCTTTGTTGCTGTATTATGGCCATCTCAGAGGTAGCTGTGATGAGCAGTAATAACTGGTCGTATTTTGAGGTGAACGATCTGACGGATATGAATCCGAACACATTCTTGAGCCCGTTTCTGGATGTAATCCGTTCGGATCAGACGAATGGACCTGTCACAGCACAGGCACTTTCATCAGTTGCTAAATTTCTCAGTTACGGACTGATCGATAGCTCCAGGTTATTGTAATTACTACCATTATTATTATTACCACTACTAATTATTATTATTATTGTTATCATTATTGTTATTATTATTGTTATTATTATCGTTATAATTATTATTGTTATTATTATTATCATTATTATTATTATTATTATTATTATTATTATTATTATTATT